GAGGTCAGTGGTTCGAATCCCGTACAGGCCTGAAATTTTTTTCAGGTCTGATTTTCACTATTGCTCAAATAGTGCTTTACTGCGAAGGATCGTGCACATATACGTAGACTTAGTTTGTTTTCACATTTACCATCTATTTATTCATCTGTAGTTTTAACTGTGTGTATTTTGTGTATTGTTATTGTTATTATATATTGTTAAATAAACGTGTAAACGTGAAATAAACGTGTCTCACTATCAAGGCAATACATGGTTTTTCTGGACTCTCAACCCAGGACATTGTTTGTCGGCTGTCGAACAGCATTACATCGGGATTTTAATCTAACTTACACTTCGTTGTGATCGAGTGGGTCCCAGTTCCCAATTCCCAATTCCTTCTACTTTGTGATCCAGTTTTTTATAGTGTTCCTTATTAAATATTTTGAGAAAGACCTGCCACTGTACATCAGTAAGTTGTTCATCTCGGACAAATCCCGAGAGGCGCAAGATATTACAGCTAAAGGAAAAATAGCGGCTGATATAGTCACTTGAGCCTCGTTATTTACGCGTGTTTGGAATTCATATACTTTCCAGAAATCAAAATGGTGGCCATAATAACACAGGCCGCGATCCTTTTTCCTTAACTTCCGCCATACTTTCTTTTCATCTTTTCCTTTTCATCATCGTCTACTTTATGTGCTCCAAATTTATATTGTAATCTTTTTTCATTTGAGTTTTTTCTCCTTAAACCAAGGATTGTAAAGTACACGATTAAAATGACTGCCACCGTTAAACACTGTTCTAAAATTGCTTTATATTGTTTAGACATCTTCCGGACCGTAATCTGTGACCATATGAGGGCTCCAGAATTCTACATTAAATCAGTAAACCAATGCTCCTGGAGAGTGCATCCTTGCAAGAGTCTTGAAGATTGTGAGAGAGGAAATTACGCAATATGCAAAAGCGGATGCTCCTCAATGGGATTTAGAGCCGACAAACCAAAAAGAAGTGGCAGATTTTATCTGAAGACAACCAGCAACTCGCCATTTTGCTGTATGTTGTTTTATATTTTGGTTGTTGTTGCTTTGTGTTCTTTCAGATCCTTTCGTGAGACGCACCGTTATTCCAACTCAGATTAACAGTTAAAAACTGCCATTTTAAGTTGTCTGAATACTTTTAATGCATTTAACCGAAGATTTTGTTAATGGAGGTTTACCGTAACTGCCCTATGTTATCGTGGTTCACTTTTCCGTAGCAGAATAGAGACAAAAATATGAAAATATGACGAACGGAAAAGGAATAGGACTATTATATTCAATTATACTACTTTTTTGGATCCTTAGGAAGGCGAAAAAGTGGAAAGAGTTGCTGACTGACGCCTTGATTAAAGAATCCAGCATCTCAAGTCTACGGATTGATTGAGGATTAAATGTCTTCGTTTCCTTGATTTGTGTTTGAGTTTTGTTTTTCCTTGTTTGCATTTTTTTTTCTTTTTTAAAAGAAAGAGTCTTTACAGGTCTCTTTTGCCTATAGCTTTTGGAGAATTTTCGTCCTCTTTTGGTTTTGTCACCTGCCAAAGAGATAATTGAAAATGGCAAAAAGGACATGCCTCATTGTCCACCTCTCAAACACAATATTAATTGGAAAGATGGGAATGTTACCATTTCCTAAGATATCAGTTATTAATTTTACTCCTTGACGAGACCTAAGAAAGAATGCAAGAAGGGCTAATAAGCGAGATTTTCAAGAGAGTTGAGGTTAAGCAGTGGTAATCTTTGCATCTGGCAGCAACTGAGTGGCCAGCGAGTCAAAGCTTGGAACGTTGAAGGTCAATCGAGGGCTGTACTCAATGAAACATCTTTGTTAATGACACAATCTGAAAACACAATCAAAATTAGCTTTTAACGTAAAAAGCGATAAACGTGTGTTCGTCCACCGGCCACCACGCTTGATTAGGTCATTCCCCTTTCGCACTCATTAGTTAGCATTAATAAGAGAAAAAACAACATTCTGTGCATGTGTTTCCCTTAATTCCTCATACATATATCCTGCAGTTAGCTACATCGCACTCAGTCTATACATGGTAGGAGAAACAAATTGTGTTTCTTTACTCGAGNTACCAGAAAATGTATTAGGAAGCTCATCTTCCAACAATAAAGTATTGGATTCAAAGTCGAATTAAGGAATACAAGATAATTGGAGAATGAGATAAGCACTTTCAACAGAACACTTGGACCGTTAAGTGCTACGGCAATGTAACAAAATGCAGAAGGTAAGTAACAAATAAGATATACCAAATACACGTAAAATATACTGACTACAGACTTTCGGAGGCCAGCAGTATTTACCAATTCACGACGCCGCAGTTCTTCGCATTGTACTTGCAGGGACTGTATCTGATTTCTATGGCGTCGTACAGCTAGATAAATCTTTATAAATGCCACTGAGATTAACAGGTGAAAGAAAATCGAAGGAATATAGATGAGTGGGTACGCAATGTGCAACGGAACCCAGAACCACGTCAGCGAAAGAAATGCACTCAGCATCCAATTGAAGATAACCACAACAAGCACGCGGTTGTGAGTTACAAGTTCATGGTATCTTAAGTGAAGGTGAATGGCTAAGAACCTATCCAAGCTGATAGCTGCAACGCCACTCAAAGAAGCCATGCAAAACAGTACTGATAAAGCATACACTGTCTTGTAGAAAAGACATCGAGGAGATTGTTGCAACAACAACTTAACACAACCTGAAGTATACAATGGCTGAGCAAATATACCAATGCAAACATCTGAAACAGCAAGACTCATTAGCAAAGTCCTCAGAGATTTTGGTAAAAAGGATGTTTTTCGTACAGCGTGGATCATTAAAGCGTTCAACATTGTAGAAGTATAACATGAGAAAAAGTTTAAGAGGACATTTGTGATAAACGCACTGCGAAGCTTACTCGCTTCAGTAATATCTGGCCAAAGTTGCAGCAAATATTCGCAAAATGAGTCTACCATCGTATGGCTTCTAATTACTTGCAGAATTGTATTGTGAATGTGAACTTGGCATCTATATCACGAAGTTTAAATTATGTCAGTTTCCTTCAAACGGGCGAAATTGGAATCACGGCCTCTTTTCTGTTTCCATCCGTTTTCACATGCACCTAGTTACATCTTTATTGTTGTGGAACCCAGTTTCAAAATTTCACTGCTCGTGTATTTGCTTTTGAAATCAATCAAAGCCTTCTACCTGATTACACAACAGAACGGCAAAATGAATGTCAGTGTTTACTTGCGAATGTCAATTTTTGAAATTTTAATGAATTTGCACCGAGCAAAAGGTTTTGAACTCACGGAGTTTGTCAGTGCAACATCCTATGTCTTATATATAAAATTAATTTGAGAGGGAAAGAAAATGTTTGTCTTATTTTATGAAAAAAAATAGGGAATAGAAAAAAAAAAACACACGTGCGAAAAGACCAAGTTAGCTTTCTCAATTTAGTTAAATAAATCATGATTTGATTTCATATAACATACAAGCAACTAAGGGATCCTCGCAAGAGGTCCCTATAGCCCCTTATACATTTTGGGCGCTTCTGTTTGATCTGCCAAGTCGTGTGTTGGAAACGAGACGAGGTTATTACTTTAGGTTAAAAAGAAACCCACAACATTTGCCTCCTTCCCAGTATGCGACTTTGTTCCTTAGTTGGTAGTAGCACCCAAAAAAAGTCTTTCAAGCTTCTTTTCTGCAATTTCTTCAATTGCACAGCAAACTTGCTGGTGTTATTTATTTCATTCCATGTTCGCTTTAGGTACAGTTTCTCATTTCTTTAAGTTTGAAGAATAAAATTAATTCCAGGCTCTGACACTGGTTTCCACAGTTACATGGCATGTGTTCATTAAATGCTGAACGCCCATTTAGCAGTATTTCAAAGAGCTAAGAGGATATAAGATATTTTGAAGGCAGTATTACTTGTAGTTTACTGCTGCTTAAAAGACATAGTCTGCGTGAAGAATCCGAATAACAAAAAGAAATTTTCAATTCAAAAAATACGGATAATTGAGCGTCATTTTGAGAATTTTCCTGAAGTGCATCGCAAAGTCGTAATTAAAAGATTCCAAAAAAGAGATAATAATGCTGAAGTAGAGCTTTTCTGGTGTTCTCCTATACTACATCGCGATTACAGAGAAAATTAAAGTACTATCAAAGACAAAGAGTGCATACCGTCCTTTATAATCCCACAGAAAGATTTAGTTCTTCGCAAAGGAGACATTTTAAAGGCCGAATGTCTAATAAGTTGGATGGCTGATCATTATTCTAATTATTATCGGCAGTGTGGTCACAACAGCGTTTCGAATTTGTCTCATAGTCCCGCAGAGGCCTTGAATAAGAGTAAGGGAAATTTCATAAAATATTCTTGAAGGGTTAAGTGTGCCTCTGATATTAATGACAGTAACGGAGATAACAAAGGGCAAATAAAAAACAAATGAAACCAGATATACGTAGAAGACATTGAGGTCTCAAATGATAACCTAACCTTTCGCAAACTTTCCATGTAAGTGCTGAAAATGAGACAACGGTGGCCGCCATTTTAAATGTTACTTGGCAACCTAAACCCGCCGAATTTGATTCGACAAAATCTCAATCCTTTTTAATTTGTTTCATAGTAGTCTATAACAGCAGTAACGAATACTTAATAAATACTCACATAAATCGCCCCCTCCGCTGGATTTCTACATAGTTGGCTACCACAATATTTGTACTTCTTAGCTGCNCGGTGGCCGCCATTTTAAATGTTACTTGGCAACCTAAACCCGCCGAATTTGATTCGACAAAATCTCAATCCTTTTTAATTTGTTTCATAGTAGTCTATAACAGCAGTAACGAATACTTAATAAATACTCACATAAATCGCCCCCTCCGCTGGATTTCTTACATAGTTGGCTACCACAATATTTGTACTTCTTAGCTGCTTAGTTTGGGCTCCAGAATCTGTGTACTTTGTGAGAAATTTAGAAATAGGCTTTTCCTATTTCAAACGACTAGTACCTTGTTCAAACCTTGACTTGAATTTACAAATTATCTCAGAAAACCACTCAGGGTATTACTTTAGAAAGGGAATAGTGAAGTTCACTTCAACTGTCTCAAGCTTTTACAGCCGACCTTTAGCTAGCCATGTTTTTAAAACAGTCTTTCTGTAGTTCTAACATATTGAGTAGGGGATTCTTGATAACTTCCAGTTTTTAAAACATTTCATCCTGATTCCTTCTTCCCCTCTTCTTCCTCATGTTCTCTTTCCAGCAACTAATTGCTGAGACAAAATACTTGGGTTACTCAGAGCCATCATTGCAACTTTAGTTCATTAGCACAGTTGAAATAGATGAGAATGAATTGGGAATGAAATAACAATTCACGCTGGTTTTCAGTGATTCTATTTATTTAGTACTTTTTACCTTCAGAATGATTTAAACGTCTCCGGATACGGCAATAAAATCAAGGTTAGTGAAATTATTTACAGCACAGTTGTTTGGAAATACAATGTCCTCAATATCGCCAACACCCAATGTATATAAAAAAATAAGCAGTTTAATATTGCGTTTAGCCACTGATATAGTACAATTTTATAGCATTGGAAGGAACTAGAGTATGTGTAGTGATGTTAAAGGATAGTGCAAAACAGGAAACCTGTCGCATCCAACACATTTCTAGTGCCCTGTACCACAAGAGAAAGATGATTCAAGAATATAGTGCATAATTGACACTCAACCGATAATTAAATAGTAACAAATAATCATATTAGCAATGTGATAACAATGCTATAATAATAATAATAATAATAATAATAATAATAATAATGCTATAATAATAATAGTTACAGTAACGATAATAATGGTAACAATGTGAGGCGTGAGTAGTCCAGTGGTCAGTGTGATGGACTCTGGGTCGGTTGGCCCAGGTTCAAGTCCTGGCTGGGGCATGACGTTGTGTCCTTAAGCAAGACACTTCACTCACATTGCTTCGTCTTCTCGGATAAGACGTAAAGCCGTGGGTCCCGTCTCCTGCAGGGTCAGGGGCAGGAGACGTAAATTTCCCATGCACGAGATTACTGTGTAGTGGATGTCCTACCCGGGGGTGGGATGGGTGAGGTGAGATCGCTACATGGACTGCAGCGGCTGCCAGAGGCGCCTGATAAAAATGCTGACGTCCGATCTCAACCTTACGATACTGTTAAGCGCGACTGAATATATCCACATAGAAGTCTGCGCTATATAAATGTAAAAATGTAAATGTAAAATGTAAATATAGTAGTAGTAATGGCAATAATTTATAGGGTCTAGTACAAGAACCTCGCTGTTCCTCTATTTGTCTATGCTCTGGGCTTTAACAATGATTTAAATTATGTTTATTTCAAATTTTTGCTGTTAATTATAAATTATTTCTTTTATTTCATTCCATTTT